GATGCCTTTTTAATTCTCATACTCTGGACTTGTTTACATGTCATTTCCCTGATCTGCCCAAGAACCTTTGGGCTGAGGTTTCCACTTATACCAAATTCCCCGTACAGGGCAAGAAGATCTTGTGCAGTAAGAAAGCTTACCACAGATGATAAAACCTCTTTATCATCCTACAGCCATGGAATTTGTGAGCAGGTAGTGGAAAATACAATAACTCTTTCCTTTCTGTCATGCTCTAATGCCTTTTGAGAGACAGCAACTAAAACCTTGTGTAAAAAAAAAAAAAAAAAAAAAAAAATCACCTGCAGATGAAGCTACTCTTGAAGTACCTACTTAAAATGTCACATATTGTATCATCACATAATTTTGTTTAAACATTTGCCAACATTGTGCTTTGGGGATCTTCTGTTGGAAATGAAGAGGTTCTAGCATCTATTAAAGTGAAATTAGTTACCCCATGAGACATGCTGTGGTTAAAAAGGCAACCATCACAATGAAGTTAACCATTACATTTTTGTAGTTACTTGTAATCAGCTGGCGTGTCAGTGATTTTAGTGGATGTATGAAGTCAGTTCTCATCAAGCTCACAGAGGTGTCCTACCAGAAGAACCACATGTGCAGTTCATCACATTGACTATGAATGTTTTACACCGACATCTGGCAATATATCCAATATATTTCCATTTTTAAATATAAAATAAATGCAACTTGAAATCAAACATTTTTAGGTCCAAAAACCTTTTGTGGCCACTATACAATTGTTATTATTATTATTATTATTATTATTATTTTTAAATATCAGTATTTTGCAATGAAGAGGCCTTTAAAGGATTTTAATGGAGTGTAAATCCAACGGCACTTGTTGATTGGAGAAAGTTTTATTTAAACCAACATGTTTTGGCACACAGGCCTTGAACTGTTAACCCTGATGAAAACTAGAACGTGTCAGTTTAAATAAAACTACATGTTCCAGGTTCAATACAAGTTAAGCTCTATTGACAGCATCTGTGGCATGCTGTTTAATACCGGCGAAAATTATTGTTGCTTCTTTTTACAACTGAGGGACGAGTCAAAATTATTTTCTGTGGTAATCAACAGCATGCCATTGACGCTGTCGATGGAGCTGTACTTGTATTGAGCCCAGAACAGTCAACACATATTGCTGGTTTTGACTTCTCTACGAGTGATTTGCCTTTTCCATGCACATTGTTTGCTAGTGAATTTGCACAAGGAAAACTAGAGGTCTGTAACTGTTGCAGTATGATGCTCTACTCATTCACCGCTGCACACATTTATCAGCCACACTCTGTCACTCTTTATCAGTCTTCCTCATTCATTCATCACATTCTTCACCTAATGCTGCTTGCATTTAATCGCCTGTGACTGACGATTCACGTCTTCACCACTGTGCAGAGCATTTAACCGTGATTACAAGCGCAGTCTTTTCACTTTGAGCCAACCAAAGCATTGCACAGATGACAGAAACTCCAAAATGTGCATCATGGAATCTCTGTGTTTGTGCAAATGGGATGGTTGCGCCAAGTCAGTTAAATAACAGTTTTTGAACAATTATACAGACATCTAGACTCTGAGGTGTGTGATCTTTATCTTCATGCACTGGCACTGATTTGCATTCATTATACTCACAGTTTAATGAGTGACTGAAGAGAGGAAAATGCATCAGGGTGGATGGTGTTGATCCTGTTCCAGCTTAGATCCCTGTAATGAGATTTAATTTATTTTATTTTATTTTTTTCCTAAGTCTTGACAGCCAATATTAACGTTTTTATTATTCTCAAGATTTGACATCTGAAAGCAGTCTTGCTCTCAAATTCATATAACAATATTCATTATTTAAAATGTGATTTTCTGGCTTTTGGTTGCCAGTTGCTGGTTCATTTGTGTAGAATGGCTTGGCCTCTAGGGGGAGGTATTGGTGAGCCAATACTTAAAAACAAAACAAACAAAAAAATAACAAATATATATATATGTCAATTAAAAACAGTGCATGCTCTTGCCAAGATATCAGTATTCCCAAAAATTATCTCTCTCTCTCTTACATCGAAAATGTAAATAAAACATTTAAATGTTACATTTTGAAAAGGTTAATGCTGAATATAAATATTTAAGATTCATTTAATTATTTTTAGGCCAGTAATCAAAGTCAATAATTGATTATGTGAACTTGATTTTTCAAATGCTCAATGCTTCTGTCATTAAAGCAAAAGGGGGTTCTGACAATTAAATTGTTCACTCAAATTGTTCTGCTAATATGATTTGAAATGAAAATGTGTATTACATTAGAAAACTGCCAAATAGAGGCTTTTTCAGTGTAACGCTTACGGCCAGCAGAAGATGAGCATGTGTACAGTACTCACAGTGAGCGCAGAGAGCTGAGCTGTTGGAATGTGTTCATCTCAATCTGTTTGATCAGATTATGCTGCAGGCCTCTGCCGAGTCAAAACAACAAAAAAACTGGTATTACTGCATCACACACACTCACACTATGGCAGACATCATACATGGCAACCATGAACATACTTGAAATCTTCCCAAATATGGACACTGATGCATTGCTACAGTAATGACTGTCATTTGTCAAGTACTATGTGGGTTATTTAGGGCTCTTAGAGTTATCATATATATGTTAGCGATATTACTCTATTCCTGTTGAGAGAGAGAGAGACGCCTGAACTCACATCTCTTGAAGAGAGGCACAGTGGTAGAAACTCGGCAGCTCTTCGATGGCATTGTGCGACAGCTCCCTGAAAACAAACACATATAGATTAGGACTGTCTGTAAATGCAAGATTCATGAAGAGTGCTGACTAGTGTTGTCAAAAGACCCGGTATTTCGGTACCAAGTCGGTACTAAAAAAATGAAAACGTTACGGTACCAGGTTTTTTTAAGTGCCGGTGGTACCGAGTACCAGGTCAACCCGGTTCTTGATGCGCTATCAGAAAGCTATCCTCTTCCAGTGTTGCCAAGTCTGCGGTTTTCCCGCGGAATTGGGCTGCTTTAACACTGTTGCCGCGGGTTGAAAAACGACCCCACTAACGTGATATTTAGCCCCTGGAATGTGAATTTTACCCGTGGATTTTCACTGGTATTGGTACCGAATACTGACATTTTTTGGTACCGTGACAACACTACTGCTGACAGTAAAGACTGCGTAAAACATTCTCAACAAGACGAGACTTCTTTATCTCAAAAAGCATGAATAAATATGGAAATATGCTAAGTGTATAATTAATTTTGTTGTAAGGGTACGTTTACATGACAACAATGCACTAAAAATGTTTTTCCTTTGCATTTTTTTAAAAAAGTTTTGCATACAGATAACAATGTTGTCAAAACAATCCCCGTTCACACTGTGAAAACAGCTAAAAACACTGTATTATTCATGCCAGGCCAGTAGTTGGCGATGATACTTTGTAAAGGTAACACTGCATGCTTGCGTACTGTACATACCTATAGATTGAACCCCTAATATGCATGTGCATGACATCACCGTTTTCACAAATTCGTGTTTTCGTAGTTTACACAGAGATGATAACGGTATCGTTTTCAAAAGTTTGCATTTTCAGGCCCTTAATGATAAAATGAATGGCAGAGTTCCGTCTTTAGTTGAAAATGGTGTTGTGTAAACATCCCCTTAGAATACTTCCTCTTCTATGCCAGTTTAAAGTGTAAACATTTTTCACGAAACGATCATTACACAGATAAATTATAGACTTACACAGTGAGCCTCAATGATAATGCTAAGCATTACCCATTAAGTCCCATTGAGGCAACTCAGTCCTCGTAGAGTCTATTTGAATGTAAAATGGCCAAACTGTTTGTAAAGATGAAGTTTCAATAACATGTTAAAAATCTGACAATGGTATGATTTTGCATCTTTAGCTTAAATTAGCATGATCTTAAATGAGGGTTACAATTCTCCCATTTTTCTACACATGTACTATCTCTCCCTTATACTGTTTTTGAAATGAACAAACATATGTACACTCTAAAAAATGTTGGGTTAAAAAGGGACAAACCCAACTATTGGGTTGTTTTGACCCAGCAGCTGGGTTCAAAACAGCCCAACCACTGGGTCAAAACAACCCAATAGCTGGTTCAAAACAGCCCAACCGCTGGGTCAAAACAACCCAATAGCTGGTTCAAAACAGCCCAACCGCTGGGTCAAAACAACCCAATAGCTGGGTTTGTCCCGTTTTAACCCAGCATTTTTTAGAGTGTATACATTTCTTAATGTTATTTATAATTATATTATAATTTGCCCTCCTAATTGCAATTATTTTAGTGTTTTTTTAGTCTTTATTTTTACCTAATTAGTGTATTAAAGTGTTTATCCAAGAAGAAACCTTGGAGAGAGAATAAGCGAATATATAGAAAAAGAATGGCATGTTAAGCAGCTACTTTCCCCAGAGGTCTAATTCTTCATTTAACAGTTACGTAAAGTTTCACTCGTCCTGCAGGGGTTTCTCTAACTAAACTTGTCCACCTGAAAGTGGTTTCTCTTATCCATCTTAATCAGAGTGCATAAAGGCAAAGCAAAAGGTAAAATTTGCTTGATCTAAAAATTAATCAAACGACTTTTTAAATTGTTTGCACAAGCATGGCACAACTGATAAAAAAAATGATCGCATTGCTCTCTAAGTTGGCTAAATATCCACCTGCTGATGTTTCGAAGTTCATGTTAAAAGCGGAGCTCCTTGAAAGTTTGGCTACATCATATCCCTCAGGGTGAATTTGAACTCCCTTTGCCAGCTCGGATCTTTAGGAAACGTTTAGAGATGAGCTTTCAAATGTGTTTGTGTGTCGCATGTCCGTATTTGTGTTTGGAAACTCACAGCACTCTTAATTTAGGCAGCAGGTGGCAGAGATCAAATGGCAGGCCGGTCAGTCCAGCTCGGGTCAGCGTACTGAGAGAAAATCAAAGAGGAGAGTTTACACTGAATGAGTGCGTGCCAAACAGGAGAGAGAAACAGTGAATGAAAAGCGGGTAATTAAATGAATGTGCATGCACTGCAATAAATGACTTTAAAGCATGAAGAAACTGAGATTTATCCATAAAACAAGGTTCCCTTTCGATACTTCACTCGTACTGCGTCTTGCTTAAGACGCATATGGGAAAAAGCCTTTTTTGGTGCCGATAGGCCCCTCATCAGCGTACCTCTCCGTTCTTCCCGGAGGTCCACTACGAGCTCACCAGATCGTGGCGCGCTCCATACTCCGCCCGGCTCCGTACTGCCTCTTCATCCGCCCTCACCTCCATCGATGGCGCTGAAGAAAAGGGGTACGATAAGCCGCCTCCCCTAGATGAGATCTTATGCTCCTGTCTCCCCCAAGAGCCTTTTCGGCCCAGCGGTCGTAGGGTTTGCTGAACGGTTTGAGGACTCAGCAGCCTGTGAAACCAGCGCCTGCCACCCCCGCTGTTCAGCCCGCTAAAGCGCAGCAGACGCGGGGACGCTCTCGCTCGGCCAGA